TCTACTCTTCAAGAAGATAATGTGTTAATTATTACAGAGTTATCAAGTCTTGGTAGAAGTCTTTCAGGAATTTTTAGACAAAAAAGTTTCTATGCTATCAATTTCCAAGATTTTAAGAGTCACCTACCCTACTCTATTTTCTTTTATTAAAGTTCGCAATATGAAAAGTAATAATAAAAAGAAAAATAATACAAATTTAGAAAATAAGAAGAAGTTTATAAGGGTACAGCTTTCTTTAGATATAGAAAATAACACTAAATATGTTAGAGGTAAAAAGAAAGTTATAGAGGAAATTGAAAATTGGTTTCTTGCTGATTATGGCCCTACTTATAAAAAACTTGGTAATCAAGAGTATATTTTGAAAGTTGAATATAAAAATAAAACGATTTGGATAATCTAATGAATCAGTTACTTCTTAAGATTTATAGAACTGCTGATGATAAGCATTGCTTTTCTGATAGTACTTCTATTCAATCTCTTGATGAAGAAGATATATATTGGTAAATCATCCTCAATGAGTCAAATCAATAATAACTCAAAAAGAGAAAAATTTTTTGTCTAACTCATTGAAATACTTAAACTATATCTAATAATATTTCATTCTCTTAATCTTCAAAACTAGAATTTTCTGGAAATACAGTTATAACATCATCAATAAGTTTTTGCATATCTGCGCTGACTTCTTCTTGTTTACCATTACTATGATGCTCGCATTTTTCATCATGAGTATGTACAGATTCTTGCAAATATTTTACTGCCTCATTAATTTTTTCTGTTATTCCTGTTACTCCTGTAATTTCTGTGACAGCAAAAATTACTCCAACACCCTTTATTATATTTTTTATACTAATTGCTGGTAAAAACATTACTAAAGGATTGATGTTTGACATTTTATCTCTTATACCTGCTACTACAAGTGTTACTGTTGTGAATGCTGCTAATGTTTCTGCTGGATGCTCTGCTACAAATGATGCTAGTGTATGCTGTCCATGATTACATTTGTGACAATGTTGGTGATTATTCATATTTTTATTTGATTTATGTTAAATTGTTAATATAGCAAACCTGTCAAGTCCTTTAGAATTTCACCTATATAGAATTGGTTAATTACTTGATATCTAATTATTATTATATTACCCTTCCCTTTATTAGTTAAGTATTTGATATTTCTTTATGATAAAAGCTCAACCTTTACCTTATGATAAGAATGCTCTAGAACCTACTTTGTCAATAGAGACTTTTGATTACCACTTTGATAGACATCACTTAGGATACGCTAATAAATTGAGTGTGCTAATTGAAGATACTAAATATTTTAATTTCTGCCTTACTGATATGTCTG